GTTATGGCGAGCGCTGGTTGCTGCTGTTATCAGTTCTCTCTTGGCTCTCGAGCACAATGCGCAGTCTTCACACAGACGATCGTACGCTTTGTTTTGGTAAAAGCACAAAACAAAATGCACACAAACATGTCCTTGCTCTTGATATACAATCACTGATGAACACCTTTGGTTTTAATGAGAGAAAAAAAAAAACTACACGAGGGTGGATTAGAACCCAGAACCTCGGAAATGCTTGACAAAAGTTCTACGGCTAGACTACTAAACCACAAAACTAATTCATGCGAATTTATGTATTTATTCAGTACTGTGAAGAATCTCGGTAGGTATTGTATTTTATTATTAATACGTTTATTATTAATTTATATTAATATAGTCGCTTGCAATGTGGGCAGGGCCCGCGTGCGCTGCGGGCCCCCCCAGCGGCACGGGCCCCAGTGCGGCTGCACTGCCTGCACTGTCTGTAGTTACGCCACTGGTCCTGCATGAGGCTTGATCATTGTAGTCGGTCATACTCATCATAGTTTATATTCCCTGATTCAAAAATGACCAAATTTAGATCGCTTCTTAGCAATACAATCTCTATTTTTGAGCTCATTTGAACACTATACACAAATGGTTGTATTCCCCTTCCAGACTGCTCAGATTTATTTATTTATTTATTTACCATTTATCATTCTAATAGGCTAAACATTCACAGTTTCCTTAATTAAAACTCTGTGGTATAAAAGTCTTTCTCTTCAGTGAGTTCTAGACAAAATATCTGATCATTGTTTATACAGAACCACTAAAACATCTGTTTCTTTAAGTATGGTAAAGCAGAGAAACTACACTATTTCAACTAAAACACTGACTCATCCTTTGACTAAACAATAAACCTCATAAATCCACGTTTCCTCACATACTGCTGCCAGCGGAGGGCCTCCCAGCTATTCATATCTCTTAAAGGTACAGATCACCCAAAAATGAGAATTCTATAATCATTTTCATCCTGTTCCAAACATTTATGACTTTCTTTGAAGAATTTATCCATCGTTTCTATGCAGTTACAAAGAACAGGGCCTGGGGCTTGCAATCTTCAAAAATGATGCAAAATCAGCTGGACATAAATGGTATCTATAGATTTATGTACAGTACATACTGTTATATGCTTTGGAGAAATGTCATAACTTTGAGTAGTGGATTCGCTTGATTTTATTTATTTATTTATTTTATTTTTTTTGTGAACCAGATCAACTGATTCTCCGATGAGATATGAATGAAATCAAGCTTAGTCTCACTAACTCTGATGAATTTTTCAGTGAAGACAATATGACAAGATTAAAAGGGTTTCTTAGGGTTGCTAAGATCTTTTATCTTTTTGAAAGAAGTCTCTTATGCTCACCAAGGCTGCATTTATTTGATCAAAAATACGGTAAAAACAGTAATATTGCGAAATATTATTAAACTTAAAAAAAAATACCTGTTTACTATTTTAATATATTTTAAAATCAAATTTATTCCATTGATGGCAAAGCAGAATTTCTCTTCAGAGTCACATGATCCTTCAGAAATCATTCTAATATGCTGATTTGGTCCTCAAGAAACATTTCTTATTATTATCAATGTTGGAAACAGTTGTGCTACTTAATATTTTTGTAGAAATTATGATACATTTTTTCTGGATTCTTTGATTATTGGAAAGTTCAAAAGAATAGCATTAATTTAAAATAGACTTTTTTAAAAACCTTTTTCATATTTATGATGAATTATCCCTTCAAGCTATTTGCTACTGAATATATAAGAAAGAGAAAAAACACATAGAAGTACGGAGATGAAATACTGGAGTTTCCTCTTAAACCAAGTAGTTTTTTTCCATGGTTTTATGCATAAAAACCATTGTCCTTTTATCTTCTCGTAATACTCTTGCATTCAGCTTTAACATCCCTTTCCTGAGCTACTTAGTGTCGAGTGGAGACAAGAGCAGCAAGAGGTGATAAGAGTGTAAAACTTCTGGTGACCAGCCAAGAGAAATGGACTGCTTCCTCACTCATACAGTCAAGTGTGTGTGTGTCCAGCACCTCTGAGCATGTAAAGCCTGAGAGCTGACGGGCCGCATTGTTCCAGGCTCCGCGACCTTTCCACAGGGAGTACGCTGGACGTGGGTTGTGGGGAGGTTGTGGGGGGGGGGCATTTCCGAGGATTGTTGGAGGTCTTTGAAACTATTAAGATGAGGGAGGGGAATAGATAGAGGTGGGGGACACAGGGAACGGAGGGGAGTGGACTGACAGGAGAAGGGAGGGAGAGGATCATTTTCGAGATGGGGAGCGGAGAGTTTCCATAAGGCACCAGAGAGCAGCGGCTTTACAACATCTTGTTCTCTCGTGTTTGTAGCGGTTCCTGTGTGTTTTGAGGAGCACACAGATATGGTGGTGCTGAGGTTGGCCGTGCTACTCCAGGGGCTGCTTCTCGCAGCACGATGTGAGGTCAGAGCCAGAGACCCAGAGGTAGAAGAGGAGGACGAGCTGAAGGACATGTCTGATGGTCGTGGATGGGACCATAGAGTTCCACTGGTTGGGTTTGGAGCACCTCATCATGGTCAAGGACTAAACAGGCAGAGCCCTGATGTGTATGGGTCTGTCCACCATCCACTTGGTCATGGACACCATGATCCCACTCCTGGACATCTTTCTCCAGACGTGCCTGAGGGAACAGGGGACCCATCAGATCCATCAGCTGGAGGCTCTTTACTCCGCACTGGGTAAGTGTTGCTGTTCTCCATTCATTCATCATGCTTCATTTGATTCAAACACATAATCGTGACCACATTGTACAAAAATATAAAGTCATTTCTTGAGGTTTTAACTGAAAAGGGTGTTGTCCACCAGGGTAATTCTCTCACAATCTGGCTCATTACATGTATGTCATAAAAAACGTGCATGGTTTGCATGGTTTTAGAGCTCATTATTTATCCTGGAGAGCCACCCAGGTTGAAGCAGAGCAGCAGCTTGTGAGGTTGTAAAAACAAAGTGAAGTTGTGTTCCTCTCCATCATTTCCTCAAGTTTCTTATCTTCTTATCAAAGCTAATTGTTGTAACAATTTCTTTACTTTTCATGTTTGATCAGTTTAATAGATCATAGGCTAGCTGAATAAAAGAATATATATCTTTCAAAAAATACACCACGTGAGGCTGAAGCAGAGCAGCTTGTGAAGCAATTTCTGTAAAAACAAAGTAAAGTTAGGTTCCTCTCCATCACTTCCTCAAGTTTCTTATCTTCCCCATCTCTGTTACAATCAACGTTTGGCTGATGTGGAAGCTAAACACAGGAAAAGCGTTCCAGCAAACATTTGGAGGTACCTGTTACTAAGAAAATTCTGTGCTTAAAGGTCTCCTCTAACCACACATCTCCTCAAGAGTGCCCATATGTTTTCTCTTAACTCTGGCTAATCCATATAATTCAGCCTAATTACCTGGAGCAGATAGGAGCCGAATGTTTCCTGCGCTTTGAGATCAGACTCAGTTTAATCTTTGTACAAGAGCTGGGTCACTCTTTACGTCAACCCTCATACATACATTACACCCCAGTTTGCTCAGCAGCAGGCTTGAGTCTCTGATAACACCCTCACTGTGTATTTAATATGGTGTCCTTGTGATTAAAGGAAGAACATCTGGTTTGGGTCTGATTAAGATCCCATTTCGGCCCCATTCAGAATTGATAGAGCATTGCCTCTCAAAGTCCAATTCATGCGGTTACTGAATTGGGATTTGATTTGAGGTAGCAAATACTGTACAGTAATTTATTAATTACAGAATTCTAATTATTTAAAAAAAAAAAGGAATTTAATTCAAAGAAATGTAACTTCTGTAGGTGTAGTTTCTAATAACATATGAATGAATTAGCAATATATACAACATATGAGGTATTTACAGAAACATTCAATGTTTTAATGATCAGTTATTTAAATGCCACATGCAGAAATTGTATATTGGATAATTATATGTTTTAATTTTAATATAACATTTTTAGTATGAATTAACAATAAATGTTATTATACATAAAACATGTACAGGTTTTTACAGATGATTATTAATAGTAATATTAATATTAATAATAATTAATATTAATGAATAATAATATATTTGCAGTTGCAATGCTTCCATTTATTTTGTAATGGTAACTTGTCTTTTTTCATATTTTGATGTTTATCGTTTAAGCCTAGATTAGGGTAACATAAAAGGTTTGTTAAATAACAGGTGGAATTTAGGGGAGGTCTCGGTCTGTGGATGAAAGAAAAGATCCTTTTTTAGAGATGTGATGTCTTGGCACGCATGGACAGCTCTGAATACTTAGAAAGAAAGACAGAGTGACAAAGAGAGAGTTTGATGCCCAGGTGCACAAAATTGGAGGGAGCTGGAGGAAAATATCACTGATCACGGTAACAAAGGGAATGTTTTGTACTTTTGTGGAAAATTAGATAAAAATTGTCGGAAATAATTTAAATAGAAATTTCACTTCACAAAGTTTCTCAAGCTTTCTGAACAAAAAACAGCTGTTGGAATATCACAACAAGTCAAATCATCAAGACACACGTCTTTTGTCATTGAAATCCCCTGAATTCATCTGAATGTGAATGTTCTGACCTGACACTCATGTGTACCTCTCTCCATGCCTGTGTATTCGGTTTCTATATTTCAAATCCTCTCACACACTCTTCTTTCTCTGATGTGGTTTTAGTTCATCTGCTTTCATCCTGGGTCTGTCTCAGGAAGCTGCTCTAGCTTACGACCTGGCCCTAAAAAAAGTTTTGCATACAATTTACTTCTTGGGTCTTAACCAATCTCAACAGAGGTCTGTCTGTCAAAAAAAAGAGAAAAGAAACAAGAAAATTCTTGTTTCCTTTTGTGCTCAAATCAATATAAACTCACCACTTCACTTGCTTATAATGAGCTTTATTTCTTGGACTAGAATCAGAGGAATGACATGGATGGGAGAGTTTTATCTGTTGCAGCTGCTGTATAACAGTCAGAGACAATGGGAAGCCTGTTTAGAGGATCCAAAGTCAAACTAAATCCTCCGTTAATATTCAGCCTTAATATTTCAACTTTGTATACAGTAGGATAAATGTCTGCTGATAAAAACATCAAAACAGCTTTTCAAAGCTCTTTGATTTGTTACAGGATTTGTATACAAGTTTCGCTCCAACTCGTAATAAGTTATGGCTTGAGATGTTCACTATTTTACAGTGTGGTAAGGAAAATACACTTCATTCAGAAAACATTACCATTCAAAATTTTTAGGTCAGTAAGATTTTTTTTAATTAATACTTTTTTTCCACATTAATGCATTAAATTGGTCAAAAATGACAGTAACATATTTATGTTACAAAAGAATACAATTTCAAATAAATGTTGTTCTTTCTAACTTTTTATTCACCAAAGAATGCTAAAAAAAAGTATTGCGATTTCCTCAAAAATATTTAGCAGCACATTGATCAGAAGAAATGTTTCTTGAGCACCAAATCACCATTTTAGAATGATTTCTGAAGGATCATGTGAGAGCTGGAGTAATGATGAATAAATTACATTTGAATAAATATTAAAATAGAAAACCGTTATTTTAAATTGTAATAATATTTCACAACATTAGTGTTTTTACTGTTTTGCAGCCTTGGTGAGCATAAGAGACTTCTTTCAAAAGCATAAAAAAAATCTTACTGACCCCAAACTTTTGAACAATAGTGTACATTATCTGTAAGTAAATGATATCTTGTTCAGTTAACTTCTTAAGTAAATATATATATTGTCTTACGGATGTTTAGATATTTGTATTAATAACAAGACAAAAATACTGATTAAGAGAATGATTTTTTTTGCAGTATACTTTCTGGAAAATGACACAGGAGGACCAACGGAAAGTATGAAACAAAGGGGCTAAAGGTTAGAGGTCATGTCAGTCTGTATGCGTGGAAGTCCGTGGGTATCTTCGTTGGGTAAGGATCCCAGGATGAGGGAAGTTTGCCAGAGGGACAGAGCGTCTGACGCTTCCTTTCTGTGAGGGGACACTAATCGGCAAAACATAGAAGGAAAGGCAATGTGCTTACAGAGATATCCATCCATAGAACTATATGGCAGGAAGTGACAAAGTCTGATTTAAGCCTGAAAGGTGCTGATTAGGGAAAAGGAGTATATATGGGCCAAAATTTTACACCCAGTTCTGTACATAACTTTCTGCCTGTGATGCAGTAAAATTGTAGTTTTTTGAACAAGTAAACTCACTAAATGGAGACAGAAGATTAAATTGAATGGACTGACAAACAAACTGTCTAATTTGTCTTTCTTTCTGTATCAAGAGTGGCCGAATTCGGCTCCAGATCATTCCAGCTCGATTTAACCTCTTCTTAGGGTTACAGAAGCTAACGTAAACCAGAGATGAAGGCAGCGAGAAGCAAGTCTGTTGTGCACCATCCTTTAATCCTTTAATCCCAGTCTGCCCCAGAATAAAGCAAAATCACAGACTTGTAAACTACAATGATTCACGTGCTTTAAGTAACTTGTCTTGAGACCTTTAATCCCTTTACCTTCAGATCCTATTAATCAATGAGAACATTACGGTCAGCTTAGTTATCAAAACAAATATAATGTCAGAGGAACGACCAAGTAATGTTCGAAACACTCCTTGTGTTAACTCCAACAACAGAGACAAACGTCTTTACGTCTGCAATACGATTCCCCTCTGTTTGACATTTTCAGTCTGTGTGCATTACCAGAAAATGTACTGTGTTGCACAAGAATCACCACTTGGATGTTTTGCCTTACTCTGACATTTTGTATGCTGAACATTGTTTTTTGTCACACAGTTTATTCTATTTGGAGACAAGCACTAAAGCTGTTTATGTAAGACTAACTGTGGCATGTATGGTACACAGTTGTATTTTGTTTCAGCTCAAACCTTGCGTAAAGCTCTCTAGGATAAGTCATGCTGTAAGTTTCATAGTCTAATGATCTAAAACGCATTAGGTATTACTAATCATTCATAAATAGTGCTGTTACTTACCAATAGTGTTGGAACGAGTATGTTTGTGTTGTGTTTTGGCTTATAACTGAAGTGCAACTTTGCTTAACTGATTCATTTGGCTATGTTGAATGTATCATGGCCTGTGGGTTTAGAACCACACGATACGTAACACAAATCAAAAACTCAACCTGGCGTATTCCCAGTCATTTAAGTCATCAAAATTCTTTCGAAATATACCGCTCCTCTTGACCTGATCTGCCCTACATTCGTGTTTGATTAATGGAAAGACCAATACAGAGTTTCTCATTCTCAAGCTCATACCGAACGCATTAACCATTGACCAAAGACTGAACAATTACACACAAAACAAGTCACAACTCGGCAGTGGATGTGATGGATTTGGCAGGGAGGTTTTGACCCGTCTTGCTTGTGGACTATGAATCATACATCAAGAGGATTGAGCAAGTTAAAACAACCAATTGCAGGATGATGTTCCTCCTCAGAGGACCATTTCCAAATACATCTACCCACAGAGCCTTATCTGTCCAGCCTTTAACTTCAACAAACCTCTGATCTCTGCTCAGCCTTACCGGTTTACTCGAAATCAGTAACAAAGACTCATGTCAAAGATCAGATCTAATGAGGTAAAATAACTGCAGCGCATCATCATGAGCTCTGCCGTGACCTCAGGAAATGGACCTCACAGCTGGACCCAATGAAATCTTAGTGCTGTGTTTTGTCTTTCTGGTCAGCCACCCTCAATCAGTGTATGTAACCAACCTCTCTAAACCTGTGACATGGTACGGACCTTCTCTGTCCTTTGTGTGAAGCAATGACCTTTCCATTTTATTTATCTCCTAATTGAGCTCCTAATTTGTATTCAACAGGTCAAAGCAGGAACAGGGTGTTTGGGCTTGCCCAGGTCAGAAGGGGGCTCTGTTTTTTACAGCATTGTAGATCAATAGAGAACTTTTCATCTCCCTCACTGCCAGATCAGATCAGGGATGCCATGCTCTCAGGACTATTATCAATGAGTCATGGCTGTTGGCACCCAGACACCTATTCTTTGGTTCCTGGTTTGAAAGGAAGCAACTGTATGCCAAAATAAACTGGATTTGGTGGACACATTGTCAGAACCAAAACAGATGTTTTTAGCAGGTACGAGCTGTAATGGCGCAGCTCTATTCTGGAAAAGGGGGCGGGGAGCAGCAGCTCATTTGCATTTAAAGAGACAGGCACGAAAAACAGCGTGTTTCTGCTTCCACTCAAAATAGGCATTTTCAAAATGATATAATAAATGATCTGTGGGGTATTTTGAGCTAAAACTTCACAGACACATTCTGGGGACACCAGAGACTTGCATTACATATTGTAAAAAGGGGCATAATATGTCTCCTGTAACAATGTATATTATTTGGATGTAATTATTCATAACTATCCATTTTAAAGAAATAGTGTTTCAAAAATTATATTTTTGTGGAAATATATTGGTAATTCTAACTTTGTTCTTCACTAATCTCATAGCTTTGATTAGATGCATCATATCCAGTTTGATGGTCAGACAGGGTCTAGCTGCAAAAGTTCAAATATTTCAACATATTCAAAGCTCAAATGGATCTGAAAATTCTGCATACACATATGATTGGAACTGTTTCAATGTTTCACACTTGTAATTTTGAATGGTGTTTTGCACCACTTTTAACCCTGAAAAGAGGTTATCTACGAATGTTTACAGTGTGTGAGAAAGTAACTTCAAGTTGTTCATCAAGAGACAACCAATCATAAGCTGCCACAGTGATTGCCTCATTAAATATTAATGTGCTTTGTATAGTCACATATCTTTTATATACAGAAGGAAACTCTCAAAAATGACACTGATTATTATTTAATTTGTGAAAAGCTGTCTTGATGTACAGTGCTGCTGCAGGAATCGCAGCTTATGTACTCTTAATGTTGCTGTAAATGGTGTTTATTCCAAGAACTTTGAAGAAAACATCCGGCCATTGATTCATAAAAACTAATTTGAGATTACCATGGATGCATTCCAAGAAACACATTAGAGGGCTTAATGTGTCATTTGTAGGTTAATATTTGCCTGTAGACAATGAAATATTTGTAGGCTTGACCCTGAGAACTAGGAGAAAAAAGGTTCAGCTAAACACAAGTATGCAAGAATAACTGTATTATTGCTAAGTGTATTGGTACAATGAACCTCTGGCCTTGACCTAACTGGATACTTCCGATGTTTCCTAACTACAGAGTATACTTACTAAGTTGTGTGGCTGACGTTCACTCTCCCTTCCAGGAATTGGTGTGCGTTTGTTCACAAGCGTGCTGTTACTGTGGCAGTATCCTGTGGAACTGAGAAGTACACCATCAAGTCCCAGAGTCCCTGTCCTAACGGCACCCCAGACTGCCAGCTAGTCATGTAAGTAATACATTATATCTTAAAAGTGAAATAGGTGAAATGTAGATTCTGCACTACAAGCACCAAACATCACCTGTTCCATCACCTGCCACAGTTGGGATCCAGAAGTAAAAATTCCTTTCATTTTCCCAGCAGAGAAATTAATTTTGAATAATGACTAATGGACTTTTAAAGACAGACCTGTGAACTACGAGGTTGTTAACTGATGGTTTTTGTTGAAGCCATTGGTCTGCATTACTTGCTTTTTAAATAATTGTGCTCAACAGTGGAATTACTGATGGGTAACTGTGTTACCCATGATTCTGCAGAGAAATAATCAATTCTCAGAGTTATTTAATTATGAGAAATAAATTATGCCAAATGAATATCTTTAAATCAATAGTTTTATATTTATGTTTTTAATTAAATTGTCATTCTCAATGTTTTATAGGATTGTAGTTCATCTCATTAAAGATGTCCAGTACAGTCTTGTACCTTTGTCTTTTTGTCCACTTCTCAAAGACCTATTTTTTTTTCCTTCAAATTAAAGTTTGTAATGTTTTAATTCATCTCCTAGCTGGCTGGTTTGGTTCATGATGTATAACTCCTAAACAAAGCCTTTTTAATATCCCTATCGAAAAGTGAATGGGAAAAACACTCCTGGAACCTATAGGTTGCTGAAAAAGTGCATTCTATTGGTTGAACAAACAGTTAGTCCTGCCCATAAACTCATGTCACTGGTTGAGTTTTTACTGGTTGATGCATATTAAGTTAGAATAGAAAAGGTATTTTAACATAAAAACATGTATTACATCTCATAACTTAATCGTTATGCAAAATAATTTGTATGCAGGTACAAGCTGTCCACTCGGCCAGTGTACAGACAGAAGGAGACAATCTACACTGCTCTGCTGTGGCGATGCTGCCCTGGGAATGCTGGGAAAAACTGTGAGGAGACAGGTACTGATGAGTTTAAGGTGACACTGGAACCAAGAACAAGAAGTGCTTGCAATACCATGCCTGACTTGCTTCATAAGTCAGTGATAAACTGGTTTGCTTCTACATTGGTATTGCCATTTCCAAAAGATAACAAGACATGGTGTTACTCCTCTCTTGTGTACATGTAACAACATTAAAGATCTGAATTCACTGCTTGGCCAAAAGTATATAAACATCCCCCTGCTAATGACCAAGCTTGGCTCTTTCATCTACTGTAAATTGGACCAGATTGTCCTAAACCGATGCAAAATGGCTTTTGTAAAAGGAGCTTTTCACTGGTGAGGTGCCATATGTTCTTAAAAACATAAGAACAGCTAAACCAGGCAATTTTCTTTGTCTCTGTTTTTTCTGTGCTCAGTCACAGACGGCCACGTCTCAGAATCTGAAGACCCCAGCATGGCAGGCACAGCACATCCAGGGGGACATGAAGCGACAGACAGACGTATGTGGTGTAAAAACGCTTTCATCTTTAAATAAGTTAAAGATCTACAGTTTTGCCATCTGTAATTGAATGAACTCTAATACAACATGGGTAGTTGCATCTCTGCATGCTGATTGGTTAATACAGCATTCTATGACCTGTGACAGACTGACACTGTGACAGCCTGGCTGCTGAAACAAACTAAGGAAATGAAAAAAGTGTTTGTGCAAATATTAGCTGACTATGAGAATGTTATTGCCCCACATGGGAGGACGGAAAAAAGGGCGTATGAGCATTCTGAAGGCAAGGGGCGAGCCCACACAGGGCGTTAACGTGTATGACCGTGCTTCAGTCCAAGCATGAACAAAACAAAAACGGTCTTGGGTAAATACACACATGCACTGGAGCACGCTAGAATAATAGCACGTTTCAGAGGAGGCCATCAAATCCACAGCTCTAAAAATAATCCTTTTGAGTTGGTTGTTGGGACACAAACAAAGGCTTTGGACACAAACTTGGAAATTCCCATGCTGCTGATTAATCTGATACCAAGCACTCCTACTAATGACCTTCCTGAGATTCAAATGCACAGGTCAAAGTGCACAGGTCACATTCGTGCAGCGAGTAGAGCTGCATGATGGCAAAGGCATCATCAATCAATGCAACCACAATGCCACATAAATTTTGGCACTACTGTTTTTTCTTCTCTTTTCTTAGGACATAACAAACTAACTCGGGAGAACGGAGAGCAGAATGATTACCAAATGTTTGGCGGTCCACCGTATGAAGCTCACCAACCTGATGTAGAGAATCAAACTGCAGCAGAGCCCACTGATGACTATGAGCACAGCCGTCATGCTGGCCATGACCACTTTGAGAGGAGAGGTATGTTAAATTTTATATTCAGTATTCCTCGCAGACTTTGCTTTGACCACACAGAACTTGCTAACAAGTTGCTAAATGGGACTGCAGAGATACAATGAAATATATCAATGTAATTATTATATATGTAAATACAATGAAACATCAACACGCCAAACTGGTCAACTCATCTACTTTATAGTCCACTTTTACAGTCTTATTGTGTTTATGCTTGCACTGTTGAAACTATTCTAACTCAAACTTTCCAACCTGTAGATTTTAAATAAAGACAGAAATGTTTTGGTTTTGACGTTGAAGAAATGCGATCATGGTGTCCTTTGTTTATAGCCTACTTTTAGTTTTTTTAAATTCTGGCAATTCTATTTAGGCTTCAAAATTGGTAAAAGTTATGTTTTATTTGTACAGATTACTGTGATAAACCGTGTGAGAATCATAAACCTTTACTAAACCAGACTTTATATTCTGCAATAATCCAAAAGCCAATGAAAAAATACAGTTGGCTTTTTTGAGGGAACCAGGGTGATGCAAACCAAGTTAGTTTACAGAAATCTGTAATTCTTGCAGCACTCTATATTGACAGTTACTTGCTGTTGTTTGTAGAGTATGTGAAAATCCCTTTTCCTCCATAATATTTTCTTGTAATATATATATATGTATTCAACAGGTATCTCTTTCCATTCTCTTGTACATCCAAACACTACAGAAAACAGATCACGTGTGTTGTCCATACCAGAAACTTGCTTACCGGACACTTCCTTTGGTTGTAATATGCATTGTCAGAGATATTATGGGGATATTATTCTGTCTGTCTCGTCCAGAGCCGGTCTCTCTTACATCCTTCTGTTCTGTCCAGAGGATGCCAGATTAACAGAACAGTAAATAATGCTGCAGACTGGGGGAAAACCTTCATTCCTCTGCTATGACAACTCCTCCTCACTGTGCCTTCTCATTACTAGTTCCTGCACAGGATATCCTCTCTTTCCCTGGGAAAAAAAGTCCCCCCATACAAACATTGTATGGTTATGAGTGTGATGTAATGGTCTATGGAAACGACAGAGGTTCAGCTATAGATTGAATCCAGGCACACAATACCCTGAGAAAACTTTGAACAGCTGGAGCGGTATTGATGTAAGGACACATTTGTCACATAAATAACGCTTGAGAGTCTCTTTTAAATGTGCATTCTCTCACAGAATAAGACAAAAGAAAGAAAAAACTTTGAAGTCTGAATGGAGAATTTTCTTCTAGTTACTCTGATGTTCTGGGTAGGCAGAGCTTTTGTGTCTGTGTGAAGTGTGGTTCAACTAGTAATAATGTTGTCAGGGTAATAAAAGTTGACTCAATCATATATATTCAATTTTACAACACAGGAAAAAAAACACCAGGAGCATAAATTCTTGAAGCTATTCCAGAGGATTAAAAAAAATAAAAACAGCACATGACCTCTATATTCAGCTTCCCAGCAGGGAACTTGTACATGTACAGATCTCTTCTTGCTTCAAACTCTTAACTAAAACTTGTGCACAAAAACCTAACAAAACATACCACACACATAGTTTCTTACAATGCAGGGGATGTGAAAGACCTTGGGCTGTTGACGGGTCACTTAAAAGGTTCAAAGGTTGGTTGAATGACCCAGGCTGAAATGGAAATTGACATATTTTTGATGTTTCCTCATGAGCAGCACAAAAAGTCAAACAGGACAAACAGCACCACAGGGAAAATTATTATCTAAGAATGACAATAGAATCAAATTTCTATTTTGGCAATGTGGTTATTCTCCAAAACATTATTGTTGCTGGCATTCCCCTCTTTGTAAGTTGCTTAGAATGTTCATAGAAACTGATGACCAATGAGAACATATCTATTTTAAGATTTTCTCTAAACAAGGCCAAATTAAAGTTCACGTGTCTTTGTTTCGTCACAATGTCTTTCTATTTTTCCAGATCCTTATGCTGTAAATGAAGGTGTTCCTCAACCTGAAACTCCTTACCTTCATCACGGGCTCCTACCAATCTTGAAAGAGGCTGTGATGTCTCAGCTGCAACCTGTGTTGGACAGTTTCAATCTAACCCTGGAACGGCTTTCTCAGGAGGTGCAGGGTTTGCAGCGGGACATGGCCCAACTCCGACATGAACAGGGGCAGGGGAGGGCCACTGAGCCTCTGGAGGTTGGTGGTGAGGAGCACAATCCACAGGAGGCTGTTGAGGCAGAGTTGAGGGAGAGCTTACAGAAGCTGGAGGAAGTGAAAGCTCAGTTTCACAACCACCGCGATGAGGTAGAAGCGAAGCTCCACTTGCAGCAAACCATGATGCATTACAACCTGACGAATTTCAAGACAGACATAGATGTCAAACTCAAACATAACCAAAAGATGTTACAGGTCAGAGTTTTTACTCAACCTCAAGACACTTTTATATGTGCAGAACTATTGTACTGAATGTGTGTCTTGCTCTAGGTGAATCTCCACTCCCTGAACACGTCAATGTCTGAAGTGCGGCAGGAGCAGGAGAGGCTGGACGAGGAACTTCAGAAGATTTGGCCTGAAAAGAAGACCGATCCTGCACAGAGTCAGTCTTATGAGAGCACAGCTGTTTGGGAGGCCATCACACGTCTGGACAACAAAGTCATCAACAACACAGTGAGACTTAGTGGCTTGATTGAAGGCCATGAACAAGTGACTGCAAACATTAAGGACCTCCAGAATGGTTGGAGAGATCTAGACAAGAAAATAGTCCAGACTGGCCTCAATAGCCAGGTTCAGTTTATGGAGACCGGTTTAGAGGTGGAGGCAGCCAAGGTAGCAGTTCTTGACCGCATTAATGAGCTAAACAGCAACATCAGTGTTCTCCAAAGCACCCTGCAGGAGATGGAGACTGATGTCGACTATCTCTATACAGAGTATTACAAGAATATAAGTTCGGCAAGTGGGGATTGTGACTGTATTGCGCTTGGAGCATCGGTGACCCAGTTGGAAGAAACTGTAGCTAATGTGAAAGAGATGGCGAATGAAAATAAGCTGGCCCATGAGCGTGAGGCTCAGGAGATGTTAGACAGTCTGTCTTGGATTCCAACCGTGGAAGATCTGAAACTAGGGCTACTAAATGTGCAAAAGTCTCTTGCTTTTGAACAGGAAAAGAGCAGAATGTTACAGCACAATGTGATGCAACTCCAGGCCTCTCTACTGGGCAGCCAGCAGGACATCGAAACACTCCAAGAGCATGATAGGGCCAAGGTCGAGAAGATCCAGCAACTACATAGCATTTTCAACACCTTGCTTCTGGATGCCATTCGTCATTCGGAGGTACTGGAGATTTTGCTTGGGGAAGAGGTGTTGGAGTTCATGGCATGGTCTCCTGAGGAAAAAAGACGTTTCTCTATACCAGAATTGAGGGAAAGCATCAGAGATATGCAAGAGCAGATCAATGGACACAGTCACAGCTTGGCCTCAATGCTGAACTCTGCTGCCCATCAGGTGACGGCAGCAGATGAGCCCTCAGTGCTTTCAGACTGGGCCTCGGTGGGCATCAAAAGGAGACGTGGGGATGAAAGGTTTGACCTATCCGAGGAGTTGCCAGAGTACTCTGATAATGACTTCTGGACTTTAAAGAAAATGGTGAAGGAACTTGGAGCTGACATTAAACAGCTTGAGGAACATCGTTGTCCTTCTTGCTGCAACTGCACTAAAACTGCTAAAACTGCTGCCACTGGTGGTGTGGAGGTGAAACTGCAGTCTGAGGTGGATACTTTGCGTAAGAACCTTGAGACCCACCTTGGAGTTTTCAACAGCATTTTCAGTAATACAGAAGGACTTACTGGCTCTGAGATATCTGTAGATTTGAATAAACTGTCAGTTTTGATGAAGAGAAAGGAAGCAAAACAGCAAAACAGGAAACAAAGGAAGAGAGCAGATAACAGAGCTGTTCAGACAGGAGAACGAGTGAATTACCGCATCAAAAGGGATGCATCACTGGAGTCTGCAGGTAAGGAGATAATTAAACATATAGTACCTTGCAAAAGTATTCACACTCTTAATAATATACCTCTTTTTTTCGATTTACATTGTGAACTCATCCTCAGTTTTCCCCACTGCAAATGTAACTTACAGGGCTACAGAACTGCCACATCAAAATTATTTTAATATTCTGTTGTTTTATAGTTACAGAGCCTTGTACATTACATGAATTATGGCCACAAATTAAGAATTAATTCCCACAACTTTGTTTTAGTTAGATCGTGGCCATGATTGAAATTAAAACGAGGAAACAAATTAGTACAATATGGCAATAATTCAACTAAACTGAGGGAATTAATTAAAACATGACCATGAATTAATAGGTTGTGGGAACAACATTTTCATCCTCCTTATGTCATGTGCAGGTTTCCGTGCTTCAGAGACCCTTGCCTTAAACAACTAAATATAACAATTTCTAGACAGAAATAATGTAGATAATGTAATTATTTAACGTGCTACATTAAGCATGTAAAATGCTTTTCACATTGAACCTAGAGTAAATGTTAGTTGACATTTGTGACAAGAGCACCCCCAGTGAGAATCAATTGTAATTGCATTATCATGTCTCATTTTTTTTCCTCACAGCATTCATATTTTAATGCCTTTTTATTATCATTTGATTTCAAACAGTGCTTCGTCAGCTCCCAGATAGTCCAATTATGTTCCTGGCCAGCACTACAGAAGGTGCTAACGGATCTGGTACGGTACTTTTTGAAAGCGTGACCCTAAATCATGGACAGTTATACTCGCCAAAAACAGGCATATTTCGTGCTCCTACTTCTGGTGCTTACCTCTTTGTGGTAACACTGGACTTTGGACCAGGCCCATCTCTGGCTCAATTAAAGAGAGGTGGAGAGGTAGCTGCCTCCTTACGGCAGAACCCGAGGAAGTTGGGTGCACCTGCAACACGTGTCTGCATCCTGCAGATGGAGCAAGGAGAGGAACTCCGTCTAGAGCTGGTGCAGGGAACTATAGAGTGTAACAACCCACAAGATAACACGTTTGCGGGTCTACTAATGCTGCAGACCACCTGAGAACATGCGACTAACTAAAGGTGCAAAAGGACTGCATGATGGCAAAAATATGCTTTTTTTTTTTTTGCACTGCTCGCCACTTAAATTTCTCATTCAGGATCTGAGAGACTAAAATAACAGCTAGCAATTATGAAATTTACATTTGGTTTCAGTGGGACAACTACGAAATTATTACTTATAAGCCCTAAAATAGGTCAAGGTATTTTACTTTTTCAGTAAATAATAAATTTAAAAAAAAAAACACAGAAAAAATGTGTACTAAAATTATATTTTTAAAAGATTACATGGACAAATATTTTACAGAGTTTGAGGCCTAATCTTAAGGCACCCTTTCAACATGGGGCTGAATAAAACAAAAAACATGTTTCCAAATTAGACAGGTTGTTTAATATAGTACATAACGATGGGCTGGGGTGATACTATGGCAAAGCACACTGAAATATCCACAGGCATATATACAGTGAGGAGGTGCATTCTCAGTTTTTGGAGGAAGTACAGAAGCTTTAGGGGATGGAGGGAAAATTCAGACAAAATTATTGAAATGAAAAAGATGAGATTCTTCTGGAATAGCCATGATTAGTCTTTCTTTAATGCAATCAAAAGCTAACTTAACGTTTTGAAATCTCTTTTAGCCACAGAAAAGCATTTTATATAGATGATCAATTTCACAGATTCAATTTTCATACTTCTTGTATAGTAGTAAGAGCAACAAATGTATACAAATGTATTTTCATATACACCAAATCTAGTGTTTCTCTAGCGTACTGTACTGTATGCTGAAGTTATCCACTCAGAAGTGAGATAATGTTTCCTTTAATAGATGTATTATTTATTTTTAAGAATATTTTAAATCCTTTTGTAAGCATGTCAGTAACCTTGACATATTGTTTTAATCAAGATGCCCTTTTGGCATTTCCCGGCGTACTGTTCTGAAAGTATTGCGACAGAGCACCTTAGTCTGGCACATAGTATATTCACACATCCTGTCTTTAAGGGTCCAGATAGCGGTGGAACGAACTATTGTGAATTGTTCTGTTACTATTACAAATCACATTGGTCTTTTCAATGGCACGGAGAATAAAAAAAAAAAAGTATTCTAGAACACAACACTGCATTTTCTAAAGAATAAAACAATTAAATCTGCATGGGAGTTCTGTAAACATGCCATGCAACAATAATGTGTGTTTTGGATCGTACCAGTTACCAAGACCGTATTTTGGCAGCCCTTACTGAAATATAAAGCACTGATGACTAACAGATGTTACAGTCGTACCCTTCACCTTCAGCCTCCTCACAAACATAAACACAGTTCAAACACAAGATTCATAATATTGGCAAGGACATATGGTCAGATTATCACCAAATCCTCGAAAGTCACATTCATAGTAATCCGTACCAACAAACCTGCATCCAGCATCTCTAAATAACGTGAACTCAGGAATGTATCAACAAACACTACACTGAGTTTGGCAACTTTGAAGGGGTGCTCATACCGGTTCAGTAAGATCCACTCAACCCGTCAGTATGAAGAGTTTTCTTTCCTAATTAAAATGAGATGTATCTGCAGCTGGTTCACTTTATGAAACTATATGGTCAAAGGCTTGCACACTGGGAATGTTTTCTATTTTGAGGATGTTAAAAACAGCATGCTTTAAAAACGCAAACAATATATGGTTTAGGCAACAACCATTTTGACAAATTAAACTGCATCTACTGAAAATGCAGCATGCATATCTCTTTACCTTTAACCTTCTGTGGGGGATAAGAGAAGAACTTCTGTATAGTTAAATTATGATTTTTAAATGCCACACATCAGATAGTTTACAACAGCTTTTAACTGGACGAGATTATATTGATAGCATATTTTTTCGCTCTGTTGTCAGTTCATCTATTACTATAATATATTACACATCATACATTAAATCACAGTATGCTTTACACAGATTCCATGAGAAGTCAACAGCATTTCATCCATATGGCAGGAAATTTATCCCAGAATCTACAGAAACATATGCAGAATAACTTGTGTATTTTAAGGCAGTGGGGTTTATGTCAATCTCTCCCACTCTACTGTTTCAGTCTGTTGCAGTAATCCTCTGATCCCAGTTTGCAATGATACAGCTTTCACAGAAAGCAGCAAAGGCACCATTGTCTGATCCAGCAGAGAAAGAGAGCTTGCTATATTTCATAGTTAGTTGTGTTAGATGTCACCATCACCTACTCTCCTCCTCCTCTGTGAAGGGGACAATGATGTCAAAGACGAAATAAAAACCACTTAGATTTTAATGTCTTGAGATTCCACCATTTTTGCTAAAGTCTTCTTGACTCGTAGGATGGTCAGGCGCGATGCGGGATTGTGGGCCCAGCATTCTGACATCAGCTTTAACATGGCCCTCAAACACTGGGAAGACAAACTCTTATTAGATCATGAACTACATTTCTCTTCTGCACATATTTATTAACTCTACAAAGAGTAACTAAATCTGTAAACATTCTGCAAATATAATCTGTCAATATGCTGCCATCTGCTGGATGACTCACCTCATCACTGTTCCATCTGTTGGATACAGTGGGCCGCAGTCCTTTGACGCACACAACCTCAAGCATATCCGCATAAGACGGATCTGATGGCACCATCTCATAATACGGCAGCTGATAGTCCTCAACGATACCTGGGAAACAATCATTGGATGAATTCATTAATTGTGAATGGTTTCAATTCTGTAAGCATCCACAACAGGAAGTTTTCATTTGAGATCAAAATACTTAAAGTTGGATGGAGGCTGGTGCTGGGCGGTATGACCAAAAATTAGTGTCATGGTATTTTTCAAAATGATACCGGTTTCACGGTACATCACGGTATTTTTTTTTTCATGCATGACCGGGTGTTAACCATATTTTCTACTGATTGAGAGAGGAAATACTGCAGTATA